TTTGCGGTTGCGCGCCCGCGAGCGGGTTGACATATGTCGCCCAGTTGCGGTTGCGGTTGCGCGCCCGCGGGCGGGTCGAAATGTGTCGCCCAGTTGGGGTTGCGGTTGCGCGCCCGCGGGCGCTTTGAAATGCGTCGCCCAGTTGCGGTTGCGCGCCCGCGGGCGGATCGAAACGTGTCGCCCGATTGTGGTTGCGGTTGCACGCCCGCCGGCGGGTCGAAATGCGCCGCCCAGATGCAGTTGCGGTTGCGCGCCCGCGGGCTGGCTTGAAATGCGTCGCCCAGGTGCGGTTGCGGTTGCGCGCCCGCGGGCGGGTCGAAATGTGTCGCCCAGTTGCGGTTGCGGTTCCGCGTCCGCGGGCGGGTTGAGATGTGTCGCCCAGGTGCGGTTGCGGTTGCGCGCCCACGGGCGGGTTGAAATGTGTCGCCCGGTTGCGGTTGCTGTTGCGCGCCCGCGGACGAGTCGAAATGCGTTGCCCAGGTGCGGTTGCGCGCCCGCGGGCGGGTCGAAATGTGTCGCCCAGTTGCGGTTGCGGTTGCGCGCCCGCGGGCGGGTTGAGATGGGTCGCCCAGGTGCGGTTGCGGTTGCACGCCCACGGGCGGGTTGAAATGTGTCGCCCGGTTGCGGTTGCTGTTGCGCGCCCGCGGACGAGTCGAAATGCGTTGCCCAGGTGCGGTTGCGCGCCCGCGGGCGGTTTGAAATGTGTTGTTCAAGGCGCTCTTTGACGTTCAGTCAGTCAATCAGTCAGTCACCAGCGGGCACGGAATTTCACCCAGCTCCGCCGGAAAAAAAAAACGGGGACGATGTTTTGATTAATTTTTGTCATGTTTGACCATGTTCGGGTAGTTTCAAATTTTCATCCAAAGTCCCCCTGTAGGAAGCACGCACGACTTAAGAAGTCTAGCCGACGCTGGGGTATCGGGCGCCCCCGCTGGGGTTCATGTGGCTGCCGGCGATGTCCGGGCGATTTTTGGCTGGCTGTTCTTGGCCACTCCTCCATTGGAAGCATCTGGGGGGGTAGGCTCAGAGGGGGGAGTTTGCAACCCCCGAAGCGTTGGGAAAGTTGTCGGGGCCCTGCGCCTCGTCGAGGGCGTTCTGGGAACCAGGCGACGAGGATCATTGCGGGGGGGAAGGGCTCAGGAGGGGCGATGTCGACACCCCGTCGCCCACCGATCGCCGATACAACCAAGACGCTGCAATCAGGACCGCTTTGGGTTCGGAAGGGGCTCGCAGTTCCTTAGGTCATTCCTTCGTTGTTCATGTGGCCCTCCTCGCGCATCCAGGCTCTTCTTGTGCTAGAAAGAGGTTTCGTTCTTTATCCAGCGCCTCTTGTGACAGCCGCCCGACTGTAGGGGCCCGAGACGTAGCACCCGCCGCCCAGGAGCGTGCGGGCTCTCTGTCGGGCGCTTGCCGCCGATCTATCGGCGACGCGTCGCCGATTCCACCTCGATGACCCCCCCCTGAGCCAGTCCACCCCCGCCGTTGACCCTCGTCGGGGCGGGTTTGTGGACGTTTCTGGCCGCCTCTGGGCCTCCTCGTGGTCGTCACGCCCAGGTCTGCCCCCGGCCTTGGTCATAGCGCGTCCTGCAGGAGGGGTGCGGGGATCTGTTTGTTGAGGGGTCCAGGTCCCAGGCATCAAAGGAACCGACAGGAATCAATCCAGCGCCGTCGCTTGAGGCTGCCGCCGTCGTTCGGCGGCTTCGGCGGCGGGCCTCGAGATTAACGCTTCGTGCGTTTCCTGAGGTTCCCGGAGGATTTTTTCTGCCTTGGGGTGCGTGCAGGCAGCTGCGCCTCGCTGAGCGGCGGCCCAGACTCTCTTGACCCCACCCTATCTTTTCCACATCTCTCCAGAGCCTCAAGCACTTCCGGGTTCGATATGTGACCCCCACCCCCAGGCCTGCACATTTTGGAATGGATGTCATGATGGTGCAGGTTGCTTGTTTCGGGCCGGACGAAAGGGGGGGATTGGGAAAGGGGGGGTTACGAAATTTGCTGCATGCAGCTGATTTCGGCCTCGCCGAGGGGCCCATTCCTCGACACATGGGCGCCTCCGGCGCTGGGAGGCGCCGGGAAAATCAGCTACGTGAGCTGATTCTCAACCCCCCCTTTGCTATCCCCCCCTTTCGCCCGACCCGATTGTTGGTGTTTTTGTGCCTTTTGCAGAGCGGCGTGCGCTTTTGACCCCCCGCGCGCGTCGCATGACAGAGTGCAGCGCGACGAGCGATGGCCCTCGGAGTGCACGGGCGCCCCGGGTTGAGCAGTCCGCGTCGGACCTCCAGCGGCCGCGCCGACTTCTCGCAGGCCTAGAGGTTGACACCGACACCAAGATCAGCGGTGTGCCTCCACCGAGGGAAGACGATCCCGATCTCGGTGATGGTGGTAATATTCTGGCTTCCAAGGTGACCGAAATGTTACCACCAACACCGAAATCTAGGATCATCTTCCCCCCGTGGAGGAAAACCCCCTGTGTTGGTGTTGGTGCTCATTTCCAGGCCTCCACACTTCGAACTTCTCCCTTCGCGGGTGAGGTCTGTTTGCAGGTGGGGGGCATAATCTGCCCCTTTCCGCTGCACGTGTCTACCCCACTCCCGCGTGGCCACAGTCACTCGATCGGGGTGGCGGGCATCTTGGGAGAACCTTTCCAGGCGTGCCCGCAGACCCTCAACAAGTACAGTCGGGGCCCTGAAGAAGGAACCCTTTTCGTTGGGGAGGGGCTCCGTGTTCCTTCATTGTTTTGCAGCTTGCCTCAGGTGTTCCTTATGTTTTCGATCGGAAATCGAAGTTTAACTTACGGGAAAAAGGGGCCTCGTTCCTTATTTATCGTTCCTTCGGTCAATGCCCCGACTGTAGCCGGGGATGGCGAGCGAGGAAGGGCGCGGGTGGGCGGGAGGAAGGCGCGGGGGGTCGTCGGGCTCCAGGAGCCCCTTGGGGTTCCCGTGCTGATGACAACTTCGGGCTCCGAGGCAAGGATCCAATAGTTGTTGTTTCTGTAGCCCCAGTGGGGGGGGGAGTATAGCTATCTCACCCTCAGCACTGGCGGTGGAAACTACCTCCCAAATGCGTGACAACGCATTGGAGGAGGCCGGAACCTCCTCGCTCCTCCTCTCTCTTGCTCCATCTCTTTTCTCGTGGCACCAGTCGTCCCCGGCGTCGGTAGGGCTTTCCTGGCGTCGGTTGAGACCCACATATATTCGAAACATACAGCTCGAATTTGCCAGAAGTGCAACGGAAGGATGGTGGGCGCACATCAAAGTCGTATTACCGCCGTGGGTTCCTGAAATTGTTGTTTTGGGAGTGTTCAGCGCCAAACAATTGCACGGATGGAGGACGCACGTTTTGCAAGATCGAGCTCTCGCTGCGGATGTCGAGTCACATGTCTATGATTCTGAAGTCATAAAGTTCGACTAGCCATGCAGAGATTGGCGGCTGGCTTCCAAACTATGTTTCTCGCTGAGTTTCTAGCACCTCTGGATCCAGGGGTTATCCGCATGGGGGGGACGGGTGGATTTCAAGCATTGGTTCTCGCGGTCTCGCTATGGGGCTTTTCCACATTCCATTGCTTTGGTGCGTTATATGTTGAACCGTTGGACGGATGGATGGTGGTGCCTTCTCACGATCGAGCCGCCAGGAGCGGCACCTGGACTTGCCGCACCACTCCTGGAGCGTGAGGATCGGCCCCTCCCGCCCTGCGCCGCCCTTCCTCCGGCCAGAGGAGAGAGAAAGAGCAAGAACGAGGGAGGAGAGAGCGAAGGAACGAGGAGAGAGCGGGATTCGGTCGCTCGAAGACCGAAGCAGCTGCGCACACGTAAACTTTCAGAGCTCCGCGTGGATGTCGTGGATCGGCGGTGGGCCCTCCTGGCGGCGCCTCCGGCGCCGCCCCCCGGCGCGTTCCGCGCGCCAGGAAGGGGTGTCCAGCGCCGATCCGAGAAACCCGCGCGGACCTCCCCAAGCAGATGTTTCTGCATTTGTTGCTTCTTCCAGTCGCGGGTGGTCTCCTTCACCAGCCAATGTGCGGTGTTCGATCCTTGGGTGGACCGGGGCGGAGGACGGAGGAGTGAAGAGGACGGAGCAGGAAGAGGATGCGAGGGAGGAAGAGGGCGGGGGGAAACGGACAGAGGTGGAGGGAGACGAGGTAGGCAGAGGCTAGACAGGGAGGACTAGGGATGATGAGGTGGAGGAGGAGGATGAGGAGGAGGAGGAGGAGGAAGAGGACGAGGAGGAGGAGGAGGAGGAGAAAGTCAGTAGGAGGATGCGGCCATGGCTGAGTCGTTAGGACGTGTAAATCTGCTGTGCGTTGCGTGCGTGTGCGCTTCCCTTCAACTCCCCTGTGCCCTCCACCTGTGCCCTCGACCCTGTGACACCCACCCCACCTCACCCCACCCCACCCCAACAGCATGCGGCACGGCGCCAGGCTTCCCTGTTCCAGCCTCACGGCCACCCGCTTGGCAGGAGGAGGCGAGGGAGGTGGATCGCAGAAGGAGGGAGACGTGGTCAAGGAATGAGGGCGGGTGGGATGAGGGGGTTGCTGGCGGACACCGCGGAGGCCCCCCCGCATCAGACCAGGAAGACAGGGCCGCCTGCGATCCTTTCCGATGCGAGTCGATTCGCCGATTGGGGCCGCGATTCCGATCCGATTCGAGTCAGACCAGTTCAACAGCACCGGCCGGCGCCATCCAGAGTTGGACGTGGCGATCCGATTTTGCTTCGATTCTGGACGATTCGTTGGCGATCCGATCCGTTTCTGATCTGATTCGATTCCCAGGCCCCCGACGTCACGGTTTTTGTTCATCATGTCGACCCCACGTGGTCTGGACGCAATTTTTGGGACTGGCTCTTCATCCCGAGGCGTTTTTGACGGTCTGCGAGGGCCGCCAGCGGCCGAAAATAGAAAACTCTGTGCCGTCATTTTCTTTCCGCAGTGCGAGCATGTCTGGGATCCGACTCCGCGAGTCGATCGAGCTCAGGCCTGGGAAATCGTTCCTTCCCGCCGGGCTCCTTTGTGGATCGAGTGCCGGCCTGCATGCCCTTTCGCGGTCGGTAGCCTCACAACACCCGCCTGCGCATGCCGCCGCCCGTGCCGCCCGAAGTGCGGCCATGGCAGCCACACATGCAGCAGGAAGACCCGCGGAGGCTCCGCCCCGAGCTCGGCGCCTGCGTGTCTCGGCGGCCCCCGTGCTGCCGGGGGGATGCCGGGCCCCCGGAGCACTTCACGGCCGACCTCGAGGCTCGACTAGACGCAAGAGTGACCCTTCGCCGGAGTGACCTTCGGTGCGCGCTCACTGGGGTCCCCCGATCGCCGCGCTCGTTGCGATAGTAGCGTCTTGCGCGCCTGTCTCTGGCCTCCTCGCGCCCCCCCAGAAGCCGCGCACCAGAGGTCACTCTTGCCCAGAGGTCACTCTTGCGTGGAGTCGAGAGGCCTGCGAGGGCGCCTACGTGCCCTCCGTGGACTCGCTCGTGTCGCTGCCCTCCGCGCCGGGTTCCGACCTGGGCGCCCTGGCGCACTGCGAGGAGCTGCTCGCCGGGCTCCGCTCGTCGCTCCGGTTCAGGAGGGGAAAAAATACACACAGACACAACTATAGCCTTGTGCCGATGATAAAAAAGGACCCCCCCCCCCCTTTCCAGGCTAGAGTTGATTATCCACGGCCAAGAAGAGTTTGGTCAGGGGCGCGGGGCGCGGAGGCCGAACTTTTTTATCATTGTGAAAAGTTCACCATCGAGGTTAACTTCCTTCTTCTTATGTTGAGATAGCAACATCAAACGAAACGAAGACGTTGTCGAGGATGTCTCAAGCGAAACCAACAATTTTTGGAGGCAGCCTCAAGCGATCCTCGGCTTTCGGTCCTCTTATCACCATCTTTTTCTCCTCCCACATGCTGGCCTCCGGTAGGCAACATTTACAATTCTTAATCCCTGTGGGATTAATCTCCGTGGTGTTCGGTTAATCGTCGACTCCCAGGAAAATATGGGAAAATATGGGAAGTGGGGGGGGAAGACAGAAAGCCCAGTAGATATGGGTAAATATGGGGAATTGTTTGGTTGGTGTGTGTTTATGTGTGTGCCCTTGGGCCCCTTCCCAGGTCCGACCTTCGGGAGGAACTGCACCAGCTGAGGGCGGTGCACCTCCTACCCGCGATGGCCTCCCTGCACGACGCCGTGCAGCAGTCGCTCGGGGAGGCGGAGGAGCTCGGAGAGCACCAGTCGGGCCAGACGAAAGGGGGGGACTGGGGAAGGGGGGGGTACGAACTTTGCTGCATGCAGCTGGTTTCGGCCCCACCGGGGAGCCCATTCCTCGATACATAGCCGCCTCCGGCGCTGGGAGGCGCCGGGAAAATCAGCTACGTGAGCTGATTCTCAAACCCCCCCTTTGCTATCCTCCCTTTCGCCCGACCCGAACCAGCTGGCGCGCTCCAGAAAAGGCTTCGCCTGTGAGGGTCGAAGAGGTTGGCATCCCTTCCTCGGCGGAGGGCTGGCGGACGCCTTCTGAAGCAAAACAGGGCCGTTTCCGCCAGCAGAAGGCCTGCGGAAGGCGGCGGAAGGCCGCGAAGGCCAGCAGAAGGCCTGCGGAAGGGCCGAAGCGATGGCAGGATTGTTTGGTTCTGGGTTTCGAGAACTGGCCAGTTACGCACCTACGCTGCTCCTGGTCGGGCCCATCCTGGGCTCAGGATCTTCGTTTGCATACACCAGCAGGGTCCATTCCGATCCAATCGATCCGATTCGGCATCGATTCCGGTCGGCCCGATCCGAACTCGATTCCGATGCTCCCGCGATCTTGTGCGGCCCGAACGTTTGCGTCGTTGTGCATCCTGACGCGGCCGATCCGATGGGATTCCGACTCCGATTCGATGCGCGTTCCGATTCGATCTGGTTTCCCGAGTCGATGCTGACCGATCCTACACCAATCTTGGCCAGGATCGGTGTGAGGTGTACAATCCCAGACCCCTCTCGTCATGATTTGATAACGTTGACCCTGAAGGTCTCGACCTTCTCTCCAGGACCAGCTTCTCATCCCGAGCCATGTGTTGGCGGTCCCGAGACCCGGCGAGGGCCCCGGGAGGCAGACGCCAGCACAAGACCTCCGTCGTGGCTCCTCATCGCTCCAGGGGGCCCGGGGCCCGGGATCTGCCTGGCGGGTGCCGGCGTTAGTGCGGGACGGGAAAATGACCACAGCCTTTGCTTCTTGTTTGCGCCGCCTTCCAGCCGGCCGAAAAAGAAGCAGTGGTTGTGGTCATTTCCCTGGTGCCAAGCTCAACGAAAATGACCACAGCCACTGCTTTGTTTCTGCGGGCTGGAAGGCGGCAACAAAAGAAAAGCAGTGGCTGTGGTCGTTTTCACGCCCCGTAGTTCGGTGCACAGCCGGCGCCCTCCGAGGAGCGCCTGCACGCCGCGCTGGCGGGGCGCCCTTGCGGGCCGGCGCCGGGCCGGCTCGCGCCCGCGGCGGGGCCGGGCCCGCCGCAGGGCCCGCCGCAGGGCCCGCAGGGGGCCGCGGCGCCCGGGGGCGCGCGGGGCCCGCCGCGGGCAGACCAGAGGAGTCAAGAGCAGGGGCGAAGCGTCCACACCCTGCCCATATTCAGCGAGCGAAGAACGGTATCAAATAAACTTTTTCGCCGTCGGGGACACCTGCCACTGGCGGCTGGAAAGCTTGTACCCTTACGGTGCCGCCGTAAGGGTATAAACTTTCCAGCCGCCCAGGGGCAGGTGTCCCCGACGGCGAAAAAGTTTATCTTATACCGTTCTTCGCCCGTTGATATATCGGAGGTTGACAGACCTCCTACCCTGGCACGTCGATGAAGGAATCTGCCGTTTTCGGTGCTCGAGAGGGCGCCGCGGCCGTCATTCTTGCGGGTTCAGGTCCGTCGGTTTCGGTCCCAGGCCGTTCTCACTAAAGGGAGGTTTACTAAAGGGAGGTTCGTCCACCGCCGCCTATGCTGAGGCGACCGCTGGCTAGGGGGTAGAGACGGCTTAGAAGCAACGTCTAATCTGCACGAACGAAACGGGCACGGAAAGAATGGGCACAATGCCCAACAGCGGATCTGGTTTATTTTGAACAGGACTTGCTGTCCACGCCGCCGCGGCCTGTGTCCATTCAAGACGGAGGGCCGCCTGCCAGCAGCGGCCGCTGTTGGTTTGAGACAACATGTGTTGTTGGGCATTGTACCCATTCTTTCCGTAATTACCCATTTCGGGCTTCCAAATTTGAGGTGGGCTACATTTAGCCCGATTAATCTCTGGCTTAATAAAACCTTGCTCATAAATGGGTCACACGTGCCCTAAGTGTTTTTTAGGGGCTGACGATCCGGGCCAACGGAGTTTTCGAACCCGCCTAAACCAGTTCAGGCACTTGCAACCCATATCATATGTGTATATAAACATATAAAAGTGTGTGTATGTATTTGCATATCGGCAGACATACATACATGCACGTAGCAACCCGCAGTTGCGGATCAGAACTTTAAACGGAGAAGGTTAAAGGCGAGGTATAAATCGAGCATGTACCGCTGCCGTGCCTGGCTCAAGCCGGGCCCGGCCAAATATGTGATTGTGCCTCACCGAGGCGCACGACTTGCATCAGAGATCGGAAAATACCTTTTCCATTGACGATGCCCATCCTATCCTTTACTCCAGATCCCATGCTTCGTCTTGCTCTCTTGCTCATGCGATATGAGCCAAAGCCTGGGATATGGCAACGCTTAAAGCGTAACACATACCTAAGCTTACCAGTGCGTTTTCGACTTGGTAGCGGAGCTGGCTACACTCTCGTGTGGCTGGCTCTCGCTCTGATTCCTGTAATCCACGGCACAACTTGGTGGACTACTACTACGGTGGAATACCATGTTGCGCCGGCTCTGCGAGGAGCGGAGCCAGTCCGCGATCGAGCTAGCGGGGCAACCCGCGAACTCGAGACGCTCTCTCCTACTTCACTGCGCCACTTCACTCCCGACTTCCACCAGATGCCAATCGGCAACTCGATCGAGAACGTGGTCACCCTGCGGGGCTACCCGCAGCGGGGCCACCTGCATCCCGTGCCAGTCAGGCGCCTCACGGCTACTACGCCAGAGCCTGACAAACCACAGCCTAAACCAATCACCGAAGCCGAAATGCACATGCACTGGATTAAGATAACTATCTTCGGCATTCTGTGGGTAATAATGGGATGTGCTGTGGGATACATGCGGCAGGGGATGGACGACACGCGTACTGCCGGCCCTTCGTGGGACCCTGCCGGTACTACGCCTTTTCGCGAATATGTTCGCGAAGTACATGCATGGTTAAACGTAACGAGCGGCAATATGACACCACCACAACAAGCTGCAGCACTACAACGAGGCCTTCAAGGTCTTGCTCGTCGTATCGCCATGCAGGTCCCCTCCCAGATCATCAATTATGGTGTAACTGTCAATGGACAGCCAACGGATGCAGTAACATATATACTGTACTTACTGAGCACCAAATTTGAAAATCTGGAAGATGAGCGCCAGCTCAACTCTGGCACTGCCCTTATCGACTTTCGCGTCGAAAGGGGCGAGCGAATCGACTCAGTGTTAGCTCGATTCGAGATGGCCCGTGACGAGGCTAACTCTGTTGGCTTTGTCATCCCCAACTTTCAGATCCTAACGCTGATTCTCTTCAGAGCGTTAGGCGTTGGCGCGTCACGAGCCCAACACCTGCTTGAGCCCTTCAATCATCAGATGCCCCGAACACAAGCAGACTATGACAGGCTGCTGACCAGGATGAGGAACTACGGACATGTTGCCGAGCGCTCTCCTGGCAACATAGCGGGTATCTTCACAGGGCACCACTCACATGCAGGTGTCTACGCCACGACTGCGGGGTCACCCGCTGGTCCTGGCGAGCCAAATCCCTGGGCTGACCCAGCCGATATGCCCAACGAGGCCACTGCCCTTCTTAGGGCAGACCGGCCAGGCATCGGCAGAGGCAGCTGAGGCGAACGCCTGGTCGAACTACTCGCCAGGCGCCGCCTACACTGCAAGCCCGCCCTCGGGCACAACCCTCTGGGGCCAAGCGGAGTCATCCGCTCAAGGGTCTCAGCCACCCTCACCGTTTGAATCTGGCACTGACACAGATACCTCATCTGACGATGAGCACAATGGCATAGTCTCTGCTGGTAATGACTATCCAGCGGATGACACTCACCTTTCTGAACAACAAAGAGCGGAAGCCGCTTTTATGGCTTATCGCAAATCAAAACGCCGTTGGAGGCGCTTTATGAAGAAACCAGTCAGAAAAGTGAGACGTGCAGTACGCCGACATTTCAAACGATTTGGAAAGGGTCGTGGCAAAGGGGGTCGCAGACGCCGTATGCATGGTAGGGGTATTACTGCTTTCCTCACGTCCTTAACTGATATAGCCTTTGAAGAAGTTCTTATCGGAGGCAAAGGTCGGGGTCACAGGCGGACCTCCGGTAAGGGAAAAGGGCGGAGGGGCAACCCTAGGGACGCTTCTGGCAATACTATGAAGTGTCATACATGCGGTAGCACAGAGCACTTGCGCGATCAATGCCCGAAGGGGAAAGGAAAGGGATCCGTACATTTGGCTCAAAATTCTTTTATGGATGACATAGACTACATTGACTACGAGTTTTACGTCAATCCAGAAGCGGCTCCCGCTGCGGGCTCCTCCACGTACTACGTGATGGCCCGCTGCGCTGAAGTAACCGTAGCCCTGGAAGACTACGCAGTGACCCTCTTCGACGAGCTCCACGGCTGGGACGAAGTCGACGAGGTCGCGTTCAATGCTTGGTTCGGTCTTCCAGCGGGGCCACCCGCCGAGCGACGAGGTCTCCGAAGCTGAGACCGTCCCGGCGACCGAGGAAGAGCTCACCGCCGCGCTGGCACCGCAGGTGATTGGCATGCCGTTGCTGCCAGATCTTTCGCGAGCTGGCTCGGAGGCGGGAGACGCTGATGACGAAATGCGGGGCCATCCCGCGTATTCTGACTCCGAAGAGGCCGAAGAGGACTATAAAGACATGCTCCAAGAGCAGGTCGCAGAAGCAATCCGGTTCCTGAGTGCGCCAGCACATCAGCAGATAACCATGAACGACCTGCTGTCGCGCCCAGGGGCTGCACGGCTGCGTCCATACCTGGATTCGGACATGTCGGCACCTCAGATGCTGACAGCACTCCAGGCTCTAGCGGGGTCACCCGCCGAAGTGACGCCAGCCGCAACAGCGGGGCCACCCGCTTGGTCTATGGATGTATTTATGCAGGGTTGTGATCAAATGGACCTCAACGACCTCACGATGGAGCAGTTAAACGACATCGGGTACTTCCGAAGCCCGTATCAACACGTATTCATGGTCCAGGACAGCTCAGAGGACTCGGAGGACATGCGCTACGCCAAGAGGGACAGACGACCATCGCCTCCCCGAGACTCAGAGCATGACGATCAAAGGCCAATGGAACGTGGTAGTGCGTCAGCGGGGCCAGCCCGCAGGAGGAGCCGTTCAGCTCCCAGACGCCCTACACATGATGCATCGGGCTACCCGTACAGTACTGAGCACTCCGTTGGTGTATCCGCTCAGCACGTGCCGGATTGGTACATCAACTGGTACCCCGGCTACTCGATGGACGTGATCCGCCACTGGTATTCTAAGGAGTACTGCACCAAAAGGGACGAAACTGGCGTGATAATACGTACCAAGGGTGGCAAGACCAAAACGCCAGAGGCTTGGGACAAAAGGGCTAAGAAACAGGAGATCATCAACGATCGCAAGACATACAGGAAACAAGTATGTCAATGCGAGCCCTTCAAAGGTCACATGCGCAGTTGTCCGATGGACCGCCCCTCCAGGAGTCCTCATCACGGTGAGACCCCGTGGAATTGGTCTCATGGAGATGACGCTGGCAACGTCCATGATCCTAACAAGGAGGTCCCTGGAGGAGGAAAGCGCATCACCGAAGCCGATCGCGTCCCTATGACCGAAGAGGTGGCCAACATCGTCAGGGAAAATTGGGTACAGCTTCCCAATGACCATCGCCTCAAGGAATGGAACCGCCGATTCCATAAAGAGGCGGGGTCACCCGCAGGATCCAGCAAAGAAGCGGGGTCACCCGCAGACGCGGCGCCAGCCGCTGGGTCCGCGGACGACGATTGGATAGCTGTTGCATCTGCTGCTGGGTCCGCCGCCGGCACTGACCACACCGAACTGAATGAAGAATGGGCGGCGGAAGACGGCTCAGAGAATCCATTCCCTGATGGATGCGCCTGCTGGTACTACAGCTCTTCGGCGCAGAAGTGGTTTTGCACGAGGGTAATTCACCGCCATGAAAATGGCAAGTACAAGCTGGCCATAAAAGGTACTGCCGACATCGACCAGATGAGGCAGGTCATCCATGATCATGGCCAGCCAGAAGGCCCTCCTAGAGACCCTCCTGGTCCACAACCGGGCAAGGGCAGCAGACCACCTCCAAGACCTGAAGCCGACTCCTCGTCTTC